ATTATTGAATTTTTAAAAATGATATGGTACAGTGAAGAATTTTTAACTAATACTGTTATTTTCTTTGATTTTTATTTTAGGACCACAGCCATACTCCATGGATTGTGATTGTAGCTAAATATTTAGCACAGTGGTATAGTGAAGTATGTCTTTTTTAAAAAAATTTATACGTAAATATATTTTCAATTTGTGATAGAATTTCTGTAAAAGGGAATGGGAGATTAATTTTTTCTTTGTGGAGTTTTAGGGCTTTTAAATTTAAATCTAGTAGCTCTTTCAATACTGACATTTTTATTAACAAATTAAAATTTGAATAGGTGTCATTCTTAAACTAGCAGTGGGGAATGAATGTAGAGAAATGGGTCTTAGTTTCTTAATTCTACCAAGTGAAACTCTGACTTCATTGAGGTATATATTTATTGATAGACTCTCAGGTGGAGCATGGGGAGAACTTTGGACTCTCAATTTCCGTATTTTAAGTTTTTAAATATTTTAAAACTTTTAACCAATTTAGACAAATGGACGAATTCCTAAAACCTATAAAGAAAAAGAAGACTTCAGAGATTTGATTAGACAAGGTAATACGGGATGTGCTTAAATATCATGTAAAGTTGGTAAAGCAAATTTCTTGAAGCAGATATTTATTCAGTTTTAGTAGCTTTGTGATATGATGCCATCATGAGCTTTCTCTTATATGGTTTTAAGAAGGACAAATGATAAGCCCTATTCTTGGAGTTCAGTATTTGGATCCTCCCTTAGAATGTGACAAGATAGGGGGCCAGGGAGATGGCTCAGTAGAACAACCGCTTCCCTGGGAAGCACAAGGGCCTGAGTTCAATCCCTGGGTCGCCCCCCTCCCCCCAAAAAAAAAGAATGTGACAAGATTGGGGGCTGGGGAGATGGCTCAGTGGAATAAGTGCTCCCCTGGCAAGCGCTAGGGCCTGAGTTCAATCCCTGGTTCCACCCAAAAAAAACCCAAGAATATGACAAGATGACAAGATTATTTCTATACTGTTGTGGATAGAAGGAGTGAGAAGAAAATGGCTAGCGTTTATTAACCCTTTTTCCATTTTAATAGGAATTTTGAAGAATGAAAATGGAACTCCAGAAGATGAAGAGAATTTTGAAGAAGCTATTAAAAATGTGAACACAGCGCTAAATACAACTAAGGTATTAGAGTTGGTGAAAGATTCATAAAAGAAAAATGTTTTCTGAAGTTCTCATATGAAAATTGATTATAACTTTTTAAATCTATAGTTAGCAATAAATATAGCACAGCTTTATTTATTAGAGGCATACAATTTTCAAATAGTAGTTTGGGGGTGGGAACTATGTAATGAAGGTGATTTTTTTTTAATTTTTTTATTGAGAAATAAATATGAATGAGATAGTTTCACAGCTGATTCATAGGACAGTTTTGATAATCAATACATTGTACATTGTTATCTTCCTAGTAGTTATCCATAGTACAAGAAGCAGACAGGATATTCTGTCCAAACACTCTTAGTACACCTCTTTCTTCTCTTTGAATTAAGCGAAAGTAGCTGTAAATTTATCCTATTTTGTAAGGTGATTATTTTGCTAATTCAAAATAGTGCTTTCTGGGGGCCTGGCCCTAGCTCAGTCCTTTAAGTGGCTGCTTCCACAAAGCTGTCAGCCTCAGGTTGCTGGAGTTCGAACCTCACAACTCTCCTGCTGGCCAAAAGTGCCCTGAAGGCATTCGAGGAACAAAAAAAAACCCCTTATTCCAAAATAGTGCTTTCTGGAAAGTTGCATTACCCTATATTTTCTTCTCATAGTATTTATTTGGAATAATGGAAAGTGTGGTTTTTTTTTTTTGTTTGTTTTGTTTTGTTTTCTTTTTGTGGGGGTAGTTTCCAGGAATCAAACTCAGGGCCTCACACTTTCCAGGCAGGCACTGCACCACTAAACTAAATCCCTGATCCATCGCTTCTCGGCCTTTTGGCTAAGATCCAGTGTAGTATCTGTTCTTATCAGTTTAAATCCCTGATCCCCACTGCTGCCCCCTCCCGCCCCCATATATGTATGTATATATGTATGTATATATTTATTTATTTTCCAGTACTGGGGGTCAAACTCAGGACCTTGTGCTTGCCAGGCATGCAGTTATGCCACTGAGCTAGATCCCTGGCCTGCTCTTAAGCTATTATCGTAAACTTTTTTAAGACAATGAACTAGTGTTGCCAAGTGATTAAAGTATATACTTCGTGAATCTACATGTGGGGTGATGACAAATTTCTATGTCTTAATTGAAGTGATGGTTGAAAATATGTATGTATAGTTACCAGAGTGCATCAGATTGTTCTGTAAGGTCTGTACGTCTCACTGAATATGAAATTTACCTCAGTTTTTTAAATGTAGTACTTGTGAATAGAGACAGTAAACTAAATAAAAAGCTAACTAAGTAAACTAGTTACTGTGAACGAACAGCCAGGCATCACAGCACATACTTGGGAGTACCTCCCAGTACTTGGGAGACTGAAGCAGGAAGATCGCTGCAAGTTCAAGGCCAGCCTGGGTTAATAGTGACTAAGACCAGTGTGAACTACATGGTAAATAGCAAGACCCTGATTTAAAAAAAAAAAAAAAAAATTGGACCTGGAGAGTAGAACATAATGGGGCAGAAAGAGGTCTGGGTTCAGGAGGCTGTTTCAGATGGGCTCACAGAGATTCACAAAGGGATGCACTCAATAGGTGCGTGAGTAAAGTAACTTGTAGAGGTTTAATAGAAGAGCTTTTCAGGTAGAGGCAGCATACGTGCAAAAGGTTCTGATGTGGGATAAAGCTTGTTTGTTCAGATGTCAGGAGGAAAGCCAATGTGATTGGCATGAAGGAGAAAGAGGTTGGAAGGATTTGTATTTGGAGAAGCAGAAAGGGCCAGATTGTAGCAGCCTTGCAGGCCATTGGAGTTTTTGAGCATGGGAGTGGTATGACTTGTATTTGTAAAAGCTCTTTTTTTTTTTTCTAATTTTATTTATTTATTGTGGGGGGGGGGGGCCAGCTCAGCCCACCAGGGGGCAGGGCTGGCTGGCATGGGGTGCTGGGGGATTGAACCACAGTCCCTGTGCTTTGCTAAGCTTGTTCTAAGTAGGTGCTTTAAACCACTGAGCCATCTCACCAGCCCTAAAAGCTCGTTTTGGCGCTTGCATAGATAGAATGATGGGGGCTAAGAGTGGAAGCAGAGCAGTTAGATGGTTGCAATTAAATTTTCTTTTTTTTCACACAGCAGTAGAGTGAAAATCTATAATTCTTACATATTTTATTAATGTCTGATAGTCTTGCTAGCAATAGAATGACATAATTTAATTATTTTAGGTTATTTTCACAGTGGTTTTCTTTCAATAGCCACTAATGAGAGTGCAAGGATTTCAAACTTTTTTTTTTTTTAATAACTTTTTTTTTTTTTTGCGGAACCGGGGATTGAACTCAGGCCCTTGCGCTTGCCAGGGAAGCGCTTATTTCACTGAGCCATCTCCCCGGCCCAGATTTCAAACTTTTGACAAGATGGAAAATTACAAATCTGATCAGTACTAATGTCTATAATCTTTGTTTTCAGCTGGCTGGGGAGAGAGCTTGGTGGTTTTAAACGTGCCTGCCTGGCAAGTGCAAGGACCTGGGTTCTCTTCCCCCTACCCCATGCCATGCAGGCCCCAGAACCCAGTGCACCAAGCTGTCACTAAAACTGGGTGTGGTGATATGCACCTGTAATCCCAATGCTGGGAATGCTGAGATAAGAGGATTACTATGAGTCTGAGCTGCATAGTGAGGCCCTGTACCAAATTAATTAATTAATTTAATTAAATAGGATCAGGGAGAAAGCTCAGTAGAATAAGCGCTTCCTTGGCAAGTGCGAGGTCCTGAGTTTAATCCCCAGTACTGGGGGGAAAAAATTACATTAAATAAATCAGTGTTTTGTTTTGTCTTAATTGTTTTCAAAATCTTGGTCTTCAGCTGTAACTATGTAAAATAATTGTTTGGGCTCCTTTCCACCACTCATGAAATAGGCTTGAGTGCTAACATCAGACAAGAGAAAGCTTTCTTCTATTTTCTTTTCTGCATCAGAGCTCTATCTGGTCTGATTTGAAATAAAACATCAAAAATTGACTATTGTATTACATTTTGAGAATTCATAGAAGTTATTTGAAGAAATATCATTGACTTATTAAAGGTGGGAAAGTTCTTAATATAAGTATTTCATGTTCTTTTATTAGATTCCGAGCAATATTGAAGATATCTTTAATGATGATTGCTGCATAAATATTACAAAACAGGTAACAATACAGAGTAAACATTATACTGCTTTAATCTCTGGATCAAATTAAAACAACATTTGTTGTTAATTTTCCATATTCTTTTAGACTCCACCATTTTGGATTCTAGCTCGTGCCTTAAAGGAATTTGTGGCCAAAGAAGGTCAAGGAAGTTTACCAGTTCGAGGCACAATTCCTGACATGATTGCAGATTCAGGCAAATATATAAAACTACAAAATGTGTGAGTTGCTGTTTTTAAACTGTATAACAATTAGTTCTGTTTACTTTAGGGATAGATAGTTCATCAGTCAGAAATCAAATGGAAGTCTATTATAACCTCACTGCTTTTCAAAGTAAGCTAAAGAATGTAGGGACATTTGTTTTTTCTTAATAGATTTAATTTAATTTTTTTGAGGCAGAGTATCTCACTGTGTCTTGTGATGCTCCTGCCTCAGCCTCCTACAGGCTTATCTGTCTAGAAATAGATTTTAAATAGATTTTATTTTTTAGAGCAGTTTTTGTTTCAAGACAAATTTGAGTGGAAAGTATAGAGTTTCCATATATCTCTAAGGCTAGGTTTTTTTTTTTTTCTTTGCCATTTCAGTGTAAAACCTCACATTTGATCATTTATTCTGTGTTACATTCTAGTCAATACTGTATTAATACACATGGGGTTTTTTTTTGCTATCTTCTGACATTTGTTGAAATTTATTTTTTTTAAGATAATAAAAAATAACATTAGAAATGATACAGAATTTCAGTAAATAAGATAATAGAAATTCAACAGTGGTTGTTACATTGCATACTGTTATCTTCAAATTAGTTATTCAGATTACCAGATATAAGTATGCAAAATTGGTCAAAAAAAAAAAAATGACAACCTTATAAGGCTTGTTTCATTGCTGAGGAGGCTAAACAAGATTATATAGCTGCTAAATGATAAAATTAAGATTTGAACCTCATAAAACCCAGCTTTAGAGCACTTACTCTTAGCTATGGGCTTTTTTCTATAACTTTTGAACTGTGAAGTCTTCAGTGTTACGAATTCATGAAATTAATTTTTCAAAGTTTAAAAGATCTGTCAGTGGGCTGGGGAGATAGCTCGGCAGTCCAAGCCCCTCCTGGAAAGTGCGAGGACCCAGGTTTGATCCCCAGCATTGCATGCCATGCCACGCCCCTAAGCCCTAGGTGCACTATTACAGCCACTGAAATCGGTGGCGTGGCCCACACCTGTAATCCCAGTTCTGGGTCTCATTACACAGCTTGGACTCAGAGCTGAAACGAGATCACTATGAGTCCAAGCTGCATGGTGAGACCCTGTACCAAATAAATAAATGAATAAAAAGATTTTTAAAAAAAGATCCATCATTGAAGATAGATACCTGCTATCTTCGGGATTGCTAGCCTGACCCAGATAGATTGCTGTAGGGATTGGTCTCCATGGATGTTACTTTTATGTACTTGGGACCTACTGATGATAAATCCACAAGTACAGGCTTGGTGTGCTCACAAGGCAAGCAGTGTCAGACATCTAAATTACCATTTAATGACTCTTGGTTTCTTATCCTGTTCTAAGAGTTGAACTTCTCAAAACTTGAGAAAGGTCGGTTGAAAACTGAAAGAAGTACAAACACTGTGGGAGATAGTAAGTTTAAAGAATGATCATTTTTAGAGGGAGAAATATATAGATCTAAAAAAGTTTTGCATGAATTTGTAGACGGACAGTTTCTAAATATTTGGGCTGGGGAGATAGCTCAGTAGTCTAAGAGCCTTCCTGGCAAATGTAAGGACCTGAGTTTGATTCCTGGTACTGTATGCCACGTACCTATAATCCCAGCACGGAGGAGGATCACTGCAAGTAAGACCCTGTATCCAATAAATATATAAAATTTGAAAATATTAACTTGCCCTAGACTTGACTTCCAGGAGTTAATTCCTGGTTTTTTTGTTTTGGGGTTTTTTTCCCCCCTGTATTTTAGGGAAGGGTCTACAGGGTGTTCAGGGTTTCACTACAAGATCAGATTTGTAGTGATCCGCCTGTTTACAGCCTCCCAAGAGCTGGGATTACAGGCACACGCCACCATGCCCAGTCTCAGTTTCTGTCTTAGCATGCTCCGGGGGTGGGGCGGGTATGGTGGGCCAGGGTATCGAACCTCCAGCCCCTGGGCCTGCTTACACGCACTTTAATCTGCTGAGCTATTTGGCCAGCCCCTTCCTGTTCTTCAGTAACTTAATTTCTTAGGTCCTATGATGGAGAAACCTGGGCTATAGATCCACCTATGAGACAGTTTTAAGTTAGATGCTGTTAATTGTGGTAGTGTTGGTGTTAGTGAGCCCCAAGAGTCTGTCACCATCACTGGAAAGATCCCTGACCATTCAGCGGTTCTGCTGGTGGCATTTCTTTTGCATTTTCACATTTCTGTACTAGTATGTTTTCATTAAAAAGAAAATTTGCTTCATAATGATAATTTAAATTTTGCCAGTTGCACAATTTATTAGTTATAATTTTTATTGTTCTTTTTCAGTTACCGTGAAAAAGCAAAGAAAGATGCTGCTGCTGTAGGTCATCATGTTGCCAAATTGTTACAGTCCATTGGCCAGGTAAACTGCTGGCCACAGTGGCTGTACATTTTCTGTAGGAGGCCTGATCACAAAACTCCAGCAAGGAACGCTGGCTCTGGCTACTTTAGAGGGAGCACTCACTTGCCAGCCTAATGAGAATACCTGTTGTAAGGAAACAGGGATTTGGAAGTGTTCTCTGAGCTCCTGAAAGCAGCCTCCCCTTTGCAGAGCCCTTGGCTTTGTGCTGTGCCCTCTGCTGGTCTTTGTGCTGGAGCAAAGCCTGAGTTTCTCTCTTTACAGGCACCAGAGTCCATTTCGGAGAAAGAATTAAAATTACTCTGTAAGTCTCCTTGGATTGATGTTTTTATTTTGCTTGGTGAAAATGTTCCACAGAGAGTGTTTACAGAAATCTTAGATGGTTGAAACTTTAAATGTTTCATGGTCTTAATGGGATGTATCTATTGAAATTTTTGTTCCCTCAGAATAAAATAAATGGAGAGAGAGGCCTTTGGCTTGTTTTTGTGTGGGGTTTTTTTGAGACAGGGTCTTGCTATACAGTGTAGGTTAGCCTCGAATTCACTATGTAGCTGAGGCTTTTTTTTTTAATGTGTTTGGTATAGGGTCTCACTATGCAGCATGGACTCGTAGTGATGCCCCTGTTTTCAGCCTCCTCAGCTCTGGGATTACAGGAATACACCACTACACCCCATCTCAGTTGCCTACTCAGTGTGTCTGGGAGCAGGTCCAGCACGGCATGTGTTGCTGGGGAATAGACCCCAGTCCCTGCACTTGCCTAAGCGGGCGCTTAGTCTGCTGAGCTATCTTGCCAGCCCTCATTAGGCTGGTTTTGAACTTATGGCAGTCTGCTTCAGCTTTGCAGGTGCTGGGAGACAGGGTATTTTAAAATGGGGTCATAGGTAGATCACATATATCTGTGGCAATGTTAAAAGGAATGAAGGTTAGTTGAAAATTATTATTACCACAAGTTTTGGCTTAGTAACTTTAAGGTAAATGATGTCTGAGACTATGAAGTCATGGGTCGTGTGTGTGTGTGTGTGTGAACAACTGTGGTTTAAATACTCATTGTGATCTGTGTGAAATGGCTATAATGAGATTAAGAGTTTACTCTCTAGTTTTACAGTAGCTGGGCTTCTGGAATCATCTCTGTAAGTCCTCAATAGGAAAAACATTTTCTTTTATTTAAGAGTTGCAAAATAGGGCCAGGGAGCTAGCTTAGTGGAATAAGTGCCTGTCTGGCAAGCGCAGAGTCTTAAGTTCAATCCCCGGTACCACAAGAGTTATAGAATAATAAAAAAGTCTATTTTACATGCTGTCTGAAGACATATTTTGTATGCTTCCACTCCTTAAAGTACTCTTTTTGTTTTTCCCGTAAGATATTCTAAGATACCCATTTCACAACATTTCTACAGTGACTGCTTTGGCTCAGTTTTAATGTTTTGTTACACTGCTAATCTTGCTTCTGGTGTGTATCTGTTTATTCTGTTAGATGATGTGATACCGGATTAAAAGCCAGATGTTGACTATTTCAGTTTGTTTTGTCTACTGCAGCATATATTTAAACATTTCCACAATAGAGAGTTTTTTATGTTTTTTTTTAACAGCTTTACATATTCTAAGAGCATATTGCATAATACTGTCCCATTTAGGATTTATCCATAATAGTGATGAAAACTACTGTTTGTTCAGCCAGGCATTGCATTAGGTATACACTTTATATTTTTGCCACGTTTGATCCACAGAACTCTCATAAGTGAACAGTCTTACAGATGACAAACTGAAGCTCAGAGAGTTTGCTAGCATCCTACTCAGTGCCAAAATAGTTGCTACGCCAAGCATATGAACTTAAGATGAGTTGTGCTCTGCTGCCTTCTCTGCTAACCATTAGAGCCAAGTACACATTTCTCCATAGTTTCATGTCTTTGAAGGGTACATGATGAAATTTCCTGTTCTTAAGGTCATGTTTGATTTGAATATTGACTTGTTACAACTATTATTTCCATCAAGTCTTTCCTGTGTTCAGGCAGCAATTCTGCATTTCTTCGAGTGGTGCGATGTCGCTCCTTAGCTGAAGAATATGGTGTGGATACAATGAACAAGGATGAAATTAGTGAGTATAACAACCTTTTTGGGACCGGGGAATGGCTCAGTAGAATAAGCACTTGCCTGGCAAGCACAAGGGCCTGAGTTCAATCCCCGGTTCCACAAAACAAAAAAAAGACCTTCTGAATGAGCACAGTGGTGTGTCCTGTGATCTCAACTCATAAGGAGGTTCACAGAGAAGGATCACAAGGTTTGAGGTATCAACAACTTAGAACATGTCTTCAAAAAACAAAAATAAAAAAGGCTCTGGATGTCGCTCAGTGTCAGACCCTAGGTTCAAAACTCAATATAATAGTGTTGAATATGTCGTGATAATAAAAAATGTAAATATTTATAGTCTGGTTTTATTCTTTAAGCCTAAATTTTAATTTATATTCTATAAAAACTTAATGTGTACATAAATTAGATTTAAGTTGCCAAGTTCTCTGTATGCATGCATAAGAACTAATATCATCCAACTATTTTCACAAGAGATTATATGACTCTCGGGGGCTAGGGATATAGCTCAGCACCATAAGTGCGCCTGCCTGGCGAGCGCAAGGACCCAAGTTCAATCCCTGGTACTACAAAAAAAAGTGGGGGGCTGGGGAGATAGCTCAGTAGAATAAGCTCTTGCCTGGCAAGCGCAAGGGCCAGAGTTCAATCTCTGGTACCACAAAACAGATTGTGAGACTCCAGCTAGTAGTCTGTTAGACCAGTGGGTAACATTTTAATATATTTCCTTTCATCATTATTTAGCAACTTCTATTTTATTGTCACAAAATATATAAAGTTTGTAACAGTATTGTCTTGTATCCTGAAACTTGAGTGCATAGTAACTTTTCGTTGTTTGTGTATTACAGATTCCTCAAATTATTCTGATTTTTTTCTCCCTTTCAGTTTCCAGTATGGACAATCCAGATAATGAGATAGTTTTGTACTTAATGTTACGGGCTGTTGATAGATTTTATAAACAACATGGTAGATATCCAGGTAAGAATAGCAATAGAATTGCCAAGTACAATAAAATCTTGAGTAAACATTTGAATTAAATCTTAAAGTATTTTCTGGGTGTTTATAACAGTGATACTTCAATTTCATTTTGTGAACAAATTATACCTAGTTCATTCTAGACAGGAACTCTGATTTATATTTTAAATATAACTGTTTGCAGATAGGGATTCATTCTATTACAGAGGAATGCTGGTTAAATGTGAATAGAAGAAAAAAGTTTTTTTTTTTTTCTCTCAGTTTTCATAGTTTTAAGACTCCATTAAATTTCATCTAGTGGAAAAGAAAAATCACAGGAAATATGCCAGTGACTTCTGAACTCAGAACTTTAGAGGTATAGGGAATTCTTTTCTTTCTTTTTTTTTTTGGCAGAACAAGGGATTAAACTCAGGCCCTTGCCAGGGAAGCACTTATTCTACTGAGCCATCTCCCCGGCCTGAGACTTCTTTATTCAATGTCTGTTCTGTGTTGTCTGAAAATATAGTGATAGAATTGGCAAGATCTACAGTTGCTCAGAATATTTTTATTCTTTTTGTTGTTGTTGTTGTTAGGGAAGTGTCTACAAGGTGTTCAGGGTCTCAGTACTAGATCAGATTGAGTGATCCGCCTGTTGACAGCCTCCCAAGAGCAGACTATTTTTATTCTTGATAATTTTAATTATGTAGGGTTATTTCATAGCAACACATCCTAGATTAGACATATCATAAAACCTGTTGTCCCAACTAATGTAGTATGCTCTCAGTTTATAGTCATAATGATCAGATTTACCAAAAGAAAATAAAGCAATGTATATTACTTTCTTTGTATTATTTGATTGGAATATATTCCAATATTTATTACATCAAAAAACTGCTCTGGAACTTAGTGATTTAGACAGGTTGTCATCTTATATGATTTTGTGGATTAACTGGCTCCAGCAATTCTCTTTGAGGGGTTCTATGTAGTTGTTTGGTGCCTGGGCTGAAGGCTTGACAGAGTTTGACATCCAGCAAGATACTTTCACTGAAATGGTCGGCAGAGGAAAGATGGCAGTAACAACCGAAGGCTGGTCAGGCATCTCTCTCTGTGTAGTGAATTTGAGCTTCCTTTTATTATGGCAGTCCTCTGTTAGACTTCTTACATGTTGGCTGTCTTCTCCAGAGTTAATATTCTAAAAGATTCAAGTAGAATAGGCAAAGCTTTTTATAACCTTCCCTTTGAAGCCACATAGCAGCACTTATATCTTGTCTCATGCATTTCACAGGGTCAGCTTATATTACGAGTGGAAACAGGGCTGGCAAGATAGCTCAGCGGACTAAAGTGCCTGCTTTGGCAAGTGCAGGCAAATGCAGGGACCTCCCTTCAATCTTCAGTACCACATACGGTGCCAACCCCGCCCCCAGGGTGGGCTGAGCTGGCCAGAGTATATTGAGCACAGACTTTACTCAGTTCTCTGATTTATATAACGTTACATAATAGAATCAACTCTGGATTATAATGGTTAAATATGTGACATATAAAAGTCACTTAAAATACTATCAGCACATTTGTAAGTACTCAGTACTATTATCATAGGGACCAGGGAGGCGGCTCAGTAGGATACGCACTTGACTGGCAAACGCAAGGATCTGAGTTCAATCCCCACTTCCACCAAAAAAAAAAAAAGTACTATTATCACGAAGAGTAATAATTTTTTCAACTAAGGAGCTAAGAGAAACTGATTTTAAATAATACCTAATATTATGATAATTATATTTCTCTTGCAGTAGTAATAATAACTTACCTTTGCAGACATTGCCATTTATTATTATTTTTATTATTTTTTGTGTTTGGTACAGGGTCTTACTACATAGTTGGACTCGTAGTGATCCTCCTGTTTATAGCCTCCCAAGTGCCGGGATTACAGGCATGCACCACTGTGCCCAGTCTTAATCGCCATTACAGCGCACCCCAGGGGCAGGGCCGGCACAGCACGCCAGGGATCAAACCCTGGCTGCTGCGCTCTGCCTAAGCAGACACTTTAGGACATTGCCATTTAATCAGTAACTTACGTTTGCCCTTCGTGTCACTTGGGCAGTACCATTGTTTACATACTGACTATACAGAATGATGTCAGAACAGATGTCATTTTAATCAGTCAATTCTTATATTGAATACATTTGATAAAATTGTTAACTTTAATATTTCCTGTTATATTATCTTATAAAAATTAACAAAAATACTTAAGTTTTGGTTATCTGTACTTTATTAATTGGTCTGGTAAGTGGTCAAGAACTGCCTGGACTCATATTTTAAGTTTGCTATTTATGAGCTCAGTAATCTATTTATGCCTCAGTTTTTTTCATCTGTAAAATAAGGATAATAGTAACTAGGTCTGTTGGATGTGGTGGTGCATGTGTGTAAACCCACCACTTGAGAGACTGAGATGGGAGGATCATTGCTAGTTTGAGATCAGCCTGGGCTACAAAGTGAGCTCAAGCCCAACCTGAATTGCACAGTGAAACTGTATCTTAAAAAGACAAATAAAACATAAATCTTTGCCCCAGTTTTCTGATTTGTAGATGATGATATTATCTACTTCACATAAAGATATAATCAATTGTTTCCAATATTTGTAAATAATAGTTTCTGTTACTTTTGTTCCCCAGTTTATATCTTACTGTTTTGACACCTGAAACTGGATTTTCAATCATATTTATAAGATTAATTTGTATATATTGTTTTAGGGGTATTTAACTATCAAGTAGAAGAAGATATAGGAAAATTAAAGTCCTGTCTGACTGGTTTTCTTCAGGAATATGGATTATCTGTAATGGTGAAAGATGATTATGTACATGAATTGTGAGTATCTTTAGGGTATATAAGAGATAATACCCTGCGTTTTATAAAACTAATCTAAGTTCATGTCTCTATTCTTTCATGTAGTTGCCGATATGGAGCTGCTGAGCCACATACCATTGCTGCATTCTTAGGGGGTGAGTTCCATAGATAAGAAGGCTTATTTGTTGTTACATAATATCATTAATACATATTTCAATACCAAGTTTTGTTTTTTTAGCTATTTTACTTAGGGTGGTCAGTGACTCGATGTCGTATTAAGTTTAGATGATTCAGTAGCTAACACCCCCACTCCTCCACCGCCACTGCCCACTTTCTTTACTGTAGGAAGTAATCTCCTCTCTCTGTTTGTGAGAGACCAAATTGGTCTCCTTGTTTCTGTCTCTTCCCCTGCAGTCCATCTGTCTGTACCATCATTATGTGTGCACACGCACACATGCTCACTCTTGTACTCACATACTCATACACCTCAGTTCTCTCTCCAACAGACCTCAGAAAGAAGTCCAGTGACTCTAGCGTGCTACCAATGACCCTATGTCCTGGATCTACGTACCCTTTCCTACTCCTGTGGCTTTGCTTTGCTGGGCTTGATGGCCTCAAAATCTATTTCTGCATGTCTAAAACTTTCATGTTCTTTAAGCCGTAATTAAAAAGTGCCCTCTCTTTTCATAAAGACTTCATTTCTTTTTTCCCTCACTCTTCTGTCTTGATTTAGTTCAGGCTGCTATATAATAGATTAACATAGACTTATAAATAACAAATTTTATTTTTCACTGTTCTGGAAATCTAAGATAAGGGTATCAGCATGATCAGGTTCTGGTAGAACCCACTTCATTACTCTCATAGATGGCCTTCTTGCTGTGTACTCACATGATGGAAAAAATTACAAAAGAATTCTCCAGGATCTCTTTTATAAAGAAAGGTACTAGGGCTGGCCAAATAGCTCATTGGGTTAAAGTGCCTGCAAACAGACTTAGGGGCCAGGATTTCCCCGGGCTTGCCCTGCTGGCCCTGCCCCTGGAGCGCACTGAGACAGCAATTGAGACTGGGCGTGTTGGTGTGCACCTGTAATCCCAGCTCTTGGGAGGCTGTAAAAAGGCAGATCACTATAAGTCCAACCTAGTAGTGAGACCCTGAACATCCTGTAGACCCTTCCCTAAAATACAAAAAAAAGGGGGGGCCTTGGAGATAGCTCAGTAGAATAAGCGCTTCCCTGGCAAGTGCAAGGGCCTGAGTTCAATCCCCGGTTCTGCAAAAAATAAATAAAATAAAATACAAAAAAAAAAAAAAGGTGCTAACCCATTCTATGCAGTTTCGTTCATCCTCGTGACCTAATCTCCCAGCAGCCTCTCTTCCTGATACCAGTCACATTGGGGGTTAAGATTTCAACAAAGGAATTTGGGGGAGGGGTAAGGAATGATGACACACTCAGTCCATAATACCCTCAAAACAAACAAACATTAGTTTCTAGCCTGTGACCTCCTGTAGACTGCATTTGCTTATGTTTTCCTTTTAGATGATTAAATGTTTTGAAGGTAGATCTAGGTCTGATTAATAATTAAAGTGTTCCAAATGAAAATCAAACTGAAGTCTGATTCTGGATTATTTATTTTAAATAAAACCAGTCTTTTATGCTTAAATAGCAAACTGTTAGTTGACAGAGAAGGGCAAATTCATCAAAGAAGAGACACAACCAGAGAGGGGAGATTACTTCCTACAGTTAAAAAAAAAAGTATAGGGGCTGGGAAGATAGCTCTGCAGTCTAAGCACCTGCCTGGCAAGCACACAGACCCAGGTTTAATCCCCTATGCCATGCTTCTGTGCTGGCCACCAAAACGGCATGGTGCACACACTCCCAACACTGGGGAGGCTGAGACAGGAGGATTTTCATAGTGAGACCCTGTACCAAATAATTTTTTAAAAATAAAGAATAAATGGAATAAAATTTTACTTTACTTCTGTGTCTTCTCTAATCATTTCAAACAGTGTTGTTCTAGTCCCTCATATTCCCTTTGGTTGGCAGTGTTCTCTCTGAGGCCATCCTGATTCCACAGTTGAGTCCTCTACTTGGAGTCACATCTTCTCACCTTTCTTTTTCTCCTTAGCGCTCATGATGATTTTATTATTTGTAAATTAGCTCTTGCTCACTCCTAAAAAGTGGTGTCCATGAGAGCAAGTAGCAGATTCTTTGATCTTTTTTTCCCTGCTGTATCCTGAGTCTGAAGTTCTATAATGTCAATGAGTGCTTTGGGAAAAAGCAGCTTTGAATTATAAAAAGATGCAGAACTTTATTTGTAGTGTTTTCTTTTGAATAATTATAACTGGTTGGCATTATTTAATATAGGTCCTTTTGAAGTTATAGATATATTTAGAATAATTATACCATCATCCCTTTTTATTATAAATGTAAAATAATCCTAAAATAAAGTTCAAGTTCAACATAAGGATGTCCTTCTGTTGAATCTTTTCTGCCTCTGTGTATACTTTAAAATGTTTCATCTAGGCCAGGTGTGGATTACAGTGCTGCCTGTAATCCCAGCACTGGAGAGGCTGAGGCAAGAGGATTACTGAGTTCGAGGTCAGCCGGGGCTATATAGTGAGTTCAAGGTCAGCCTAAACTACACAACTACACACCCTGAATCAAAAAAAAAGAGTTCTGTCAGCCATTGCTGTTTAAACTTTTTTTTGTTCATTTACTGTATCTTGCCAATCTTTTATACTACCATAATTAAAAATCCATTCTTTTAATTTGTGACATAGCCAAATGTAATATCACAGTTAATAAAGAATTATAGTTTTTATTTTGATATGAGTAAGTTATGCCTGTTTTAGATTGCTTTTAAGTATTGCTTATGGGGGGAAAAGGTTTCTTTACAAAACTGAATTTTATTTTAACTCTTGATATTTTCTCTTTTCAAAGATTTGCTTTTTTTTTTTTTTTTTTTTTTCAGGAGCTGCTGCTCAAGAAGTTATTAAAATAGTCACCAAGCAGTTTGTAATTTTTAATAATACTTACATTTATAGTGGCATGTCACAAACTTCAGCAACTTACCAGTTATAGATTAGCACCCTGTGTATCGTGTTAATGACTAAAATTGTAATTGTCTTTAGTAAAATTATTGTACAGTTTAATCTGTAAAATTCTGCTGAATAACAGCTGTTAAATTGTTTCCTCAATAAATGTTTTTCTCGTTTGCACTAATGTAGTGTTATTTGGAAGGGAGGGGAAAGGAAGCAGTCATTTTGCCAGAGAATAAAAGTTACCATTTCTCATTGAGTCCACTGTTACGCCTTTTTCCAGTTATTTATCATTGATTATCTTTACTTCATTAGAAATGGCCTAAATATGGGGCTGGAGAGATAGCTCAGAGATCTAAGTGCCTGCCTGGCAAGCACAACAATCTGGGTTCAGTCTCCAGTACCGCATGTTGTGCTGGCCTGGCTCTGGCTGAGTCAGCCACTGAGATTGGGTATGGTAGCCCATACCTGAAATCCCAGCACTGTGGAGGCTGAGACAGGAGGATCTCTATAAGTCTGAGCTGTTCAGTGAGATCCTGTACCAAACAAAATATTTTTTAAAAAAATTTTTAAATAGCTTAAATATTCTTTACTGCCATGTTAAATAATGAATTTTAGCTATATGTGGGTTTTAGCTATGGATACTTTAGTACCATCATTTGTTAAATATGAATACAATGTAGTAGGAAACATTACAGAACATGTAGTTTCATCAGAAAACAAAACCATCCCCTGGTATGTAGTGGCATCTTAACTTAGGTTTTGCCACCTACTTATTGAACTGTTATGGGGTTCCGACTATATTAATCTTTTTTTTTTTTTTGACGGAACCAGGGATTGAACTCAGGCCCTTGCGCTTGTCAGGCAAACACTTATTCTACTGAGCCATCTCCCTGGCCCCTTAATCTCCATTTTGAAGACTAGTGACATTGGATTATTAATCATTGATGGACATAGTTGCAAACTTGAAATCTAAAAGGGGGAGGCAGGATCCATTTTCTGATCTCCTATATGACTGAGGGATGATTCTCAGTACTTTAAGGACCGTAAACATGCAGGAGGTCAGTTTTTAAATGCTGGTATGGGTGAGAAGCTCCTCCATGGCCAGGAGTAATACACTGTGACAGGCAGGAACGTTCTGTTGCATCCACCCAGATTGTGCTCCTGCGATACCTCTGCCTGCATCACCATCCACCAAGGTGGAGAGCTTCAATGATGCATGCTCCCCATGCCACCCCAACCTGATGTTCTCCAGAAGAGTTCCATTTGTCTCTCCTCCCCTGATGGGGTGACGACAACTTCAGTGAGGGAGTGACATGTGACCCTATGTGTGCACTGGGCGATGAGGCCCTTGGCAGAAGAGCAAACGGTGAATCATGTAGAGACTTTCCCCTTTGGTCCCAACACTTGCTCCTATTCTTGCCCTTCTTGGAGGTGAGAGCTGGGAAGCCTGACCACAGATTGCAAAATAAAGATGCAAGTGAACACGATAAATAGTGTTTCCTAAGCAGCTGTGCTAGAATTTGCCCAGAGGGTGCTTCCCAGAGATGTGAGACGTTTGCCACAGCAGGCATTGCCTCCTAACAGTAATTCACCTCGAACTCCCAACACTTCCGTGAGTTGGATTTTATTAAAGGAAGCCAGAGGCTTTGGACAAGGCTAGGCCGTGGACCGTGAGAGCCAAGGGCCCTGGTCTTGAGGTCTAGACAGAGAAAAGTGCTGTTGGCCTCAACTGAAGTCGTCCGTGAGGCAACAACAGATGAAGCAGTGTGGCAAGTGACAAGGCTGCCCCTCAATAGAGGGCCTAACTCAAAGGAGGACGGCCTAGGATCCGGAAGGCTGGCAGCGAGGGCGGCGCAGAGGCTAGCTAGTCACGCCTGCGCCTGCGCCTGCGCCATGCTCACAGGCCACACAGCGACTCTCGAAGGGCGGAAGTTCCGGCAGCAAGCCCCGCCCAGCGGAAGTGAGCTGGCCCGTTGGCGGCAAGCCGGCTGAGACGTCGAGGGCTGTGCTGTGGGCAAGGCGGCTGTCGGAGCAAGCGCTCTCCTGAAGTGGACAGGCCAAAGCCTTCGCTTCCGCGCCTTCCAGCCTGGTCGTAGCGCGCCTGTTGTTCCTGTGGACGGCAGGCAGCGCAGCCACAAGCCCTCTCACAGCCACTCCGACGTGGTACCACGCGGCGGGGCCCCCTTCCCAGCGTGCTTTGAGGGGAGGTGTGGAGTCGAGGACGCAGGGTCGGCCTGAGCAGGCAGGCCCCAGGCTGTAGCCGTCCCCACAGACTGGAAGAGGTCATTGCCAGGTACCATGCACTTCGGCCTCCATACACCTGCGCGCTGTGAGTCCGCGTCCCGAGGCTCCCCCGCCTCCAGGTGAACGTGTTGAAGGAGAGGGGTCCTCGGGTCGAGGCCGTTTCTCAGGCCAAGCAAGGGCCACGTGACGTCCCCGTGACGTCCCCGCCACGTCAGGAGCCTGCCCGCCGTCTACCCGACACCCTCTTCCTGAGTCCTGAGGAGGCCTGCAGCTGTGCAGGGGGGCAGGCGCTGGTGTCAGTCAGCAGGAATCGTGGGAGCAGGGTGGAGTTGGCCTGATCTTGGAAGATTGCAGCTTATCTGGGGAACCTGGCTGAGGTGATGGCGCATCATGCTCTCAGCTGTTAACATTGTAGCGCTAGCTGATTCCTGGTACCCTCAGCATGTTCTCTGGGAACCGGTTAACTGTCACTTCACAATCCATTTGAACTGTTTTTTGTTTGTTTGTTTGCTTTGTTTTTTGTCTTTTTGAGACAGGGTCTCGCAGTGTAGTTCAGGCCGGCCTTGAGCTCACTATGTAGCCCAGGCTGGTCTCGAACTCAAAAGGATCTTGTCTCAGTTTCCCTAGTGCTGGGATTACAGGTGTGTACCACCATGCCATTTTGGTGGCTGGCATGGCATGCCTGGGCTTAGTGGGCCAGCATGGCATATAGTATCGGGGATCAAACCCAGGTCCGTGCGCTTGCCAGACAGGCGCTTAGACTACTGAGCTATCTCCTCAGCCCCTGTGAAGGATTTTGAAGTCTCGTTGGTTAAAATTTGCAGCCATTCATGTAATTACTGAGAACACTTCGTAACCTGCATTATTTGGCAGCTGTTTTTGTTATTGGGAATGGACTATACTTGTTTTATAATTTTAAATAGAATGTTAGCGAGGCATGGTGGTGCATGCCTGTAATCCTAGCATTCGAGAGATTGAGGCAGGAGGATTGTTGCGAGTTTGAGACCTCCCTGGGCTACAAAGTGAACGCAAGGCCAGCCTGAACTGTACAGCGAGGCGCTGTCTCAAAAAAGGTAGATAGGTAGGTAGATAGAGATCTAGATAGAATTTTATAATTACCTATCCTTTGAAAGTTATGCTGTCTGTTGCTGTGGATGTTTTAAAGAATTTAGCTTTAGATAATTTACACTATTGCTACTAGATGCTTGGCAAACTGTCTTTACTGTGCCGAATAATTACTTATTGGAAAAGATAGAAAAGAATGTAGTGTACTGTAATTTGTCAGTTTCAATTTCCAAATATTTAGATTTCAAAATTATACAGGGGCTGGAGGTTTAGCTCAGTGGTAAAGTGTTTGTCTAGCATCTGCAAGGCTCAGGGTTTGAACTGCAGCACTACAAAAAGAAAAAAAAAAAAAAAAACACCTGTACATTAACCCTCTTTTAAAAGTAAAATTATATTAAAAGCAGGAGAGTGGCTTCTTAAGGAAATAATCTTCAAGCTTTCTCACAAAACATCCTCATAGGATACAGTGGTCCATTTTTTTTTAACAGTTTAATTTTTTCTTCTTCTGGGAATCAAACCCAGAGTCTGGCAAATGTACCACTCAGCTGCATTAATCTGCAGTGTTGAACTAAAAGCTAGGCTAGGGGCTGGGGAGATAGCTCTGCAGTCTAAGTGCCTGCCTGGTAAGTGCAAGGACCGGGATTCAATCCCCAGTACTGCATGCTGTGCAAGGCCCTGTGCTGAGCCGACCACTGAAACCAGGTGTGGTGGTACATGCCTGTAATCCTAGGGAAAGCTGAGACAGGAGGCCCACTAGAGTCTGAGCTGTGTAGTGAGACACTGTACCTAAGTAAATAAATGATTTTAAAAAAAATTTTAAAGCTACTCTAGTTAGGCCTCACTAGCCACATTAAAATTGTACAGTGTGAACTTTATTTTATTTAATTTGTGGTGCTAGGTATCAAAGCAGGACCTTGTGGATGCTAGGCAGGTACTCTGCCAATGAGTTGTGTGCCCTTAGCCCCTCATTTTAAAAAAAATCTAGTTTGGGCTGGTGAGATGGCTCAGTGGTCTAAAGCACCTACTTAGAACAAGCTCAGCTAAAGCACAGGGACTGCGGTTCAATCCCCCAGCACCACATGCCAGCCAGCCCCGCCCCCTGGTGGGCTGAGCTGGCCATACACACACACACACACACATACACACACACACAAATAAATAAAAATTAAAAAATAAATAAATAAAATCTAGTTTTCTTTTTCCAAATCTTAACTCATTTTCCTAAAAATGATATGTATAATATAATATGCAGAGAATATGTACTCCATATAGGAGACATATAATGGATAATTTCTTTTGTTTGCCTCAGATGTTCTTGGTTTCCATTCCAACTCTATGGAACTTGGGCAAATAATTACCCTTTTCTCATCCATCTTTGGTCATATATCTGCCTTATAAATATTGTGATGGCTAAAAAGATAATTTTTAAAGTGTAAAGGACAGTCTGGCCTACAGTAGGTACTTCCTGTGTGTTAGAAATTATTCTAAAAGTTACAAAAAAGTAAAAAAAATACTGGAATAATATAGCCCTAGAATCACTTCCTAAACATGACTGTTAATAGTGTTGCTGTCTTTCTATCCAGTTTTATGTTTGCCTCTATCTAGTTGGTACTATACTATAGATAAAATTTAGAATCTTTACGGGTAACTTTATAACATAGGCATTTTTTTGTTGCTATTAAACATTTCTATTCAAGATCAGTATTCTTGTAACAATATTCTGTCCCATGGATATATCATAATGTTCCTTTTTAATGTAATATTAAGTTAGAATGACAAAACTAATAAATTCATATTAACTTATAAAATCTTCATATTTTTAATTTCTTTAAGCTTAGAAATTTTATTTTCCTGTTGCAATAAAAAAGTAGAATTTTACAGTTCCAATTTGTTGCTGTAAGAAATTAAATTGACTTTTTAAAATTGACTTTGATACATTATATATATAGTTTAGCATTTTCAATTAGGACATGTGAGAGACCATATATAGTTACCACAGGTTTCTGACAATTGATGTATACGGAAATTTTTCTGACAAATGATATAAGATTTAAGCTTAACAGTAGAATACCATGCCAAAAATAACCATGGGTTCTTAGAAAAAATTAGTATTAATTTTAGTTTATGGAGAGAAATAAAAATCTAAAGGGTGTGTGTCTGTGTCTGTGTTTTCAAATTCGATTCATGTATGGTTGATATCTGATCTGAAACTGGGTTAAAGATTTATAGAGGAAAAAAAAGAAAAGGAAATGGGACCAAAAGAGGACCAGTTTGATTTAGTGAGTCAACCATTTGTTTATTTAATAACATTTGTTGAATGCCTACTTTTAAAAGGCTCTTATAAACAAAAGTTTATATGAGTTTTAAAATTTAATACTTGAACAATTCTATGAGGTAAAACATCCACTTACTTTGCGGAGAAAGAAACTAAATCTCAGAGAATTTAAGCAACATGTCCAATGTCACACATTTATAAGTTGCAAAATCAAGTCCTTCTGGCATTAAAATATTGTTCTTTTCCTACGTCTTTTGCATTTGTATTTCTGCCACTCTTAAAATCCAATTTAAAATGAAAAAATACCATTCTCTTGCAGATAAAATAAAAAGAAATCAGAATATAGACAAGCATGGAAGATGAGGACACAAAGAAAATACAAGGTGAGAAATCCATGAGTCATATATCTACAGTGAATTTTATTACAATGTGTTTGTGAGTTATGCTGCAGATTATCTAACCGCATCCAGGAATAAGTCACTCAGCATTGAACACTTATTTTGTGTCTGTCACCTAATTCCTGGCTTCAGGAAACTGACATGTAAACCAAAAACATGCTGATATTTAGAATGCTATATGGTAGTTGTTTAATGATACCATATGGGGGCTGAGGAGATAGCTCGGTGGTCTAAGCGCCTGCCTGACAAGTGAAAGGAGGATTCGAGTTCCAGTACCACATGCCATGCTGGCCCTGAAACCCTGGGCTTGCTGTACTAGCCACCAGGCGTGGTGGCGCACACAAGTACTAGGGACACTGAGACAGGAGAATCACTACGAGTCCAAGCTGTGGAGCAAGACCCTATACCAAATAAACAAATAACTTAAAAAATTTATAATGATACTGCATAAGATAATTGCAGGAACCTGAGGGGATCACTGTCGAGAAAGTCTGTAGGAAGGTACAGTGTAACAATTATTCTCAGAAAAATTCAAACTGAATATGAAAAAGGATGGAGAATAGTGTTTCTAATGTGTAGCTACACAAAGGTTTAGCTGAAGAGAATAGGCTCAGGAAAAAGAAAAGACTGAAAGAAACATTTCAGGAAGGAGAAAGATTCAAAAGTATAATGTCTTGGAAATCAAAACCTTAGAATGCTTCATGAGAAAGAGGTCTTGTAAGAATATCTGTACCGCATATCACAGAGGAGAACTGAATTTTTCACTGAATTTTTCATTTAGATGTCATTTGTTTTATCAAACAATGATCACTATCCTGGGCATGGTAGTAATCTTAGCCACTTGAGAAGCAGAGGCAGGAAGATTGGAAGTTTATTGCCAGCCTAGGCAACTTAGTAAGATCTTGTCTAATAATAATATTAATAAGAAGAAGAATAAGAATGATAAAACAAAGGTTTGCAGATAGTAGAGGATTTTCCTAACATTCATGAAGCCCTGAGTTTAATCTCCAGTACTGAAAGGGAAAAAAACCTCACTGGAGATCAGCCACATAGCAGTAGTATATATTTAGATAGGAAAATCTGAAGACAATATGAATAGCTTAGTCTTTTAGGAAACATGACTAGAGGTGTATGGTAGTAGCTAGAGGGAAGTTCCAGTATCAAAAGTCTCAGGTTATTGTTTTGATTTTTGGAGTCAAGGTCTTGCTATATTCCCCGGGCTGACCTTGAATTGGCCTCAGTGGATCCTTTTGCCTCAGCTTCCCAAATAGGTGAGGCTACCAGTATCTGCTGTTGTGTTCAGTTTGTCAAAGAAGTCTTAGATTATAGAAATATTTTTGAAGAGAGAATTCAAGATTCTGGAGAAGGGAAGGTTGAGGAAGCTGAAAAGATAGATACTCGTTCAAAACCCCTCCATTTATCATACTTACGCCATTTATCTCTTTTGTCTGATATTTTTCACCATCATTCTCTTTCATTTTATATTTTAATTTGGTTAACCCCAAGAAGTAGACCTTGAGATAGGGATTTAGGTTTAAGAATTCCAAGAAAAAAATTCTAGCAACACTAGCTTGAAAATGAGAAACTGATAGAGGCAGGGAAAGATCAGAGAGTATATTATACCATAATGATGTGTGTTGGAGCTTGACTTTCCAAGTAAACTGGAAGTCATCCCCCTGAGCCATCCCAGCCAAAACATAAAGGGTATTTATCTGTTATCGCCTGTTAGTCATTTGTTTAGTAGCAGTGTGAAGTAGTATCTAATTGTGGTTTTGGTTTGCATTTTCCTAATGAATAACGATGTTGTATACCTTCTCATACTGATTGGTAATTTCTCTTCTTTGGAGAAATACGCATTCTAATCCTTTGTGTATTTTTAATTTGTTCCTTTTTCTTACTCATTCGATTTTTCAGTACTTGAGATTAAACCTGTGGGTGCTGTATCTTCTAACCTTTTAAGTTTTGTTTTTGTTTTACTTTTTTTTTTTTAATTTTTATTTATTTATGTGTGTGTGTGTGTGTGTGTGTGTGGCCAGCTCAGCCCACCAGGGGGCGGGGCTGGCTGGCATGTGGTGCTGGGGGATTGAACCG